CAAAGCAAAGGTGGTCCCAGCCGGACAAGGGTGGAGAGGACAAGGAAGGCTTCGTCCTCGGCTCAGTTTATAAGTAAAGCTGCCCCACCATGTCCCCCCTTCCCCCTAGGCCCCTTCAGGCCTCTCTGGAGCCACAGGGTGGGGGAAGGTGTGAAATACTGGGGGTGGTTGGAAGTGGCACATCCAGGCGGATGGAGTGGCAGCCAGGCACACGTTCCAGAAGTTAAGACAAGAGTCAATGTGAGCTTTGTACAGCGAGGAGCAGCTCCCGGTGACTCCGAGGACTTGGGGACAACAAAAGAAAAAAAATGCCACAGTGATCAGATCGGGCCAGGAGGAGGAGGAAGGGGTGGGCACCCGGGGGGTGAGAGGAGGAAGTCGAGTCCTGGCACCTATCGGCGGTAATGATTGGGGGCGTCCGCAAACATGTACTTGAGTCTGTAGGCTTCCGCCAGCAGGAGTCCGATTTCTTCGTTCCCCCAGTGTATCGTGGGCAGGTTTTGTAACAACATCAGAAGGCCCTGAAAGAGGGGAAGGGGCTTAGTTTGGGGGGGGGGGGGTGGAGGGGGGCTTGGGGAGGCACCAGCAGAGGCACCAGCACTTGCTAACTCTTGCTGGCCACACTTGCAGGGCTGGAAGGCTCAGGGACAGCGTTGAGATGGGCTCATGTCTAAATCCAAACCAGTGAAGCACCTCAGAGACCCCCAAAACCTCTTGAGATAAAGGGAGCTACCCCAGTGTCACAGCCGGACACCACAAAGGGACTCACCGTGATCAAAGCTCGAGCCCAGGGAAGAGCCAGCATTTGACGTTTGCACCCTCCAACAGCCCAGTCCTGAGCCCAGAACCTCACAAGTTACCTTCAGGCAAAGATCCTGGGACTGGCTGCTCTCGGAGCCAGCTTTGGGATGATGGTCAACTGCGTCAATGCTGGAATCCCAACCAGAGCGATTTCCCCCTCCCAGGGAATCGCCCCCAGGACTCACTTGGAAATCTTCCTCATCCAGGATCTCCTTCCGCCACTTGATCAAGAAGGCGGCGCAGACGTAGAGGTGGAAATGGGAGAAGCCTTCTGGCTCCGACTGCAGAAAAGAAAACTCCAGGTCACCTGCAGCTCAGCTGGAGCACGACTTGCCTGGACACACATGTCCTACTGGGCCACCCATCTCCCAACCGGAAATAAATGTCCCCAAGCCACGTTACTTTGCTTCCATCATCTCCCCGGCCGCACGGTGCTGCCAGAAGACCTGTGTCCCCACCATCTACAGGGAACTGGTCCCACAGTTCCCACCAGCCAAGCCTGGAGAGCAGCAGGAACCTCCGTACCTGGTAGGTGTCCCAGAGGCGGATGGTGCAGCGAAGAGGCAGCTCCCTCATGAGCAGATTGTTCATCCAGCGAAAGGCAAACTGCAGGTATTCGACCTCGTACTTCCTAAAGTGATTATGTACCTGCTCTGAAACAGCACGTGTCACTTACACACCTGGGGACCGGGTGGCCCAGCCCCCACACGCAGCGCTGTCCCCAACACACTGGTTTCCACGCACTTTCAGGCTGAGACCTTGTTCTCCCAAACGCCTCCCAACTCCTCACCCTGTGCTACCTGGCCAGAAAAAAAATGTCCCCGGGGGGGTTTCTGGCTGATCCTACCCTGCCCTGCTTCAAAATGTGTTGGAAACAAGTGGCTACGCTGCCCTGAGGGTGCTACTTGTAAAGGAGGACTCCCATCATTGTGATGAAAGAGGCTCCAACCTGCTCAGAGCTCCTTGTCACTTACCATCGATCCGGCTGACCAGCTCCTCCAGGGCTTTGACTTTCTTCTGGATCCCTGGCTGTGCAAAGGTGTAGTTATCCTGTGGGGAGAGACTATGAGTCAGAAGCAGCAGCTCTAACAGCAGCTAGAAATGACCAAACCCAGATCCCCAGCTCCAGAGGGAGCCGAGATCACCATGAACCACGGAGACGGTGACTATTGAGTACCAGGATCATCTGCCTGCTGTGAAGTCCCTAGTTAGGACAGTGCTGATTTGACAGCTACAGCATCTTATTTCCTCAGGATTTTACCCACAGATTTAGCTCAGTGAAGCAGCAAAATCTCCTTAATGCTGTGAGGACAGGCTGAGAGAGTTGGGGGGGTTCAGCCTGGAGAAGAGAAGGCTCTGGGGAGACCTTAGAGCCCCTTCCAGTCCCTAAAGGGGATCCAGGAAAGCTGGGGAGGGACTCCTGATCAGGGAGGGGAGCCATAGGAGGAGGGGGAAGGGTTTGACACTGGAAGAGGGGGGATTGAGATGAGATCTCAGAAGAACTTGTTTGCTGTGAGGGTGGTGAGAGCCTGGCCCAGGTTGCCCAGAGAAGCTGTGGCTGCCCCATCCCTGGAGAGGTTCAAGGCCAGGTTGGAGGGGGCTTGGAGCAACGTGGTCTGGTGGGAGGTGTCCCTGCCCAGGGCAAGTGAGAGACACTGGGTGGGCTTGAAGGTCCCTTCCAACTCAAACCACTGTATGATTTTAAATGCAGAGCGCTCACCCAAACACAGAGATAAAACAATGCCCCAGCACCAGGAGAGAAACCTCTGCAGCCCCCAGAGCAGCTCACCTGGATCCCATCCAGCAGCTTGCTCATGCACCAGAAGCTATCAGCTTCGATGCTCCGTAAAACATCCTGCGACAGGTTCGTCACATCAAAGTTCTCCACGTCCTCCTCTGCAAAACAGAGAGGGAAGAGCATCAGAAGGATGGAGGGACACCAGGAGACTCCCGGGATACACTGAGGGGCTTTAATCAAGCCAAGGCAGGGCAAGAGCCACTACAAGGCTCCCTGTGACACAAGTGGCCTGCCTGGCACAGGGCACAGCACCCATGCACTGACCTACTTTTCCCACCCTGGCGAAGGGCTGAAGGACCCCAAAACTCAGCAGCCATGACCCGAACCCAGCCCAGGGATGCCAGGAGAGACCCCAGAGCACTGCTGCTGCTGTCACCCCTCTGGGGTGAGGGCTGTGCAGGGACAAAGCCCCTGGCATGTGGGACCCCCTCTTGCTGGAGCCCATCCCACCCTGAGTGACAGCAGGTCTCTGCCAGCTGGTGGCACCACAGGGACAACCAGGAGAGGTGAATCCCTCTCTCCAGCCAGAAACCAGGGAAGCAAACACTGCCCCTGGCCTGAGGCAGCACAAGGGAGCTCAGTTTCCACTCCCAGTCAATTTACTGGCATCATTGCAGGACTGAAGCACGACAGATGCTCCCAAAAAGTGGCTGCCAACTCTGAGGACCCATGAGGAAGACCTGCCAAAACCTCAGAAACCTCTATAAGAGAGAGCAGGACTCTCAGGCACAGTTGCAAGGACCCAAAACCACACAAACATATTTCCTGGAGAGCAAAAAATTTTCTGAGTTAAATCCACCATGGAGCCTGATGGCAGAGAGAATGCTCAGATTCACGGAACTTCTCTTCCCCCTCCTGGAGCCCGACTGACAGTAGAGCTCCAGAAAAGAGAAGCAGCCCCAGGCATGGCAGAGCCTCGCACGAGATTTGTACAAGCTTGTTTTTCACACCCAGCAAACTGAGGGGTCTGAGAGCACAAGGGTTAGTGGCAGTCCCCACTGCCACTGCCAAGTGGGGACCCCTTGTCCCCAAAGAGCGCAAAAGGCTGCCCTTGCTTTTAAACGGGCTTATGAACCTCCAGGAAGGGAAAAGGAGAGAGCACAGGTCTCAAGGGTGGCACAGGGGTGATGCTGGTTAAGTTTAGAGCAGGGATCACCAGCTCCAGGCCAGGCTCACCGTAACCTGGAGGCTGCAGAAGGAAAAGCCACGGGAAGGCAGCGAGGAGACACTCAGGAGACACAAGTCTGGCTCTTCCTGGCTTGGCTGACCCAGCAGCTCCCTCCCTCTCCTCCTCAGGAGGAGAGTGCCTGTCATGCTCGATGGGCCCCTTTCCAAACCCAGAGGCTCGGAAATCCTAACGAGCGCCTTTGATCTTCCTTGAAAAAGAGTGCGAGAGGAAGAGGATGGGGCTGGGACCAGGCCACCCTTGTGGCTCAGACGTGCCGCAGGGCAGCTGCTGCAGGCTGGCCCTGCTGGGAAAGCCTGTGTTAACAGATCCTGACCGCAGGAGGATGGATGGGGATTATAAAGGTTCCAACTATCATTCTTCTGGTGGCTTCTCTACAGCCACCCTCAAACGTTCACAGGTAATGAGAAAGGCAGGAAAAATCTGTTTAATACCCACCTCCTTCCCCAAATAACTTGCCCAGCAGAGGATGGGCACACACAGGAGTGGGACAGAGACGTGTATATGGCCAGGACCCATGGAAGATGCCAATTAAGCCACGCAGGAATAAGCCTTGTGCAGAAAACCTCCCTGTGTGGCTTCAGGCAGGAGGACCAGGATGGAGAAGGGGATGTGGTGACCTGCCCAGGTGACGGGGAACACCCTGCTCCTTACACCAGTATGGGGACAAAGGAGCAACCCTGCCAGCACCCTGCTGTCAAAGCCAAACAGGGGTAGGAGACCCCCAGCAGAAGCCAAGAAGCTTTGAAAAACCCCAGGTCTCTGGAGTGTGTGGCACAAACATCTGCTCAGCGGTGTCATTAAAGAGCCCCCGTGGGAAGGAGGGAGATACTCGCCATATGGCTCCGACAGGCACTGAAAAGCAGCCAGCAGCATGGTGACAGCCACCTGCAGCCAGGCTGGGGGCAGCAGGGACACCACTGCCACCGTCACAAGGTGCCCGAGGGCAGCTGGGGCTTGGGGAAGGCAAGGACCCCATGGGTGACATTGACAGGGCTCAGGGAGGACACAGAAGGGGCATCACGGTCCCACTTGAATCCCCTCAAATGCCAGGCAGGACGTAGCCTGGAGCAGATCAGAGGAACCAGGGCTCCAGCCTCCCACATCCCTGCTTTCTTTAGGGGAGCTTTAAGGACTTCCCATATTCTGGTGAGACCAGATGCCTGGAGAAGAGTTAAACCCAGTTCCAGCTCTGCCCAGTAACAGGCAAATCTGCCCCGAATATGAGCAACAGGTCCAGGGTAAAGCTGGAGTTCAGGACAAGGCTGATGGTAGAGCCTGAGCTGGGTCAGCCAAGAAACACCAGGGTACAAGGATACCCTTCCCTTCATCCCAGGCTCCACTTCTGCTCCTGCTTACACAGAACCAGAGTTTTAATTTAACCATGATTAGGATTCAGTAACAAAGCCAGTTAGGAACGAGCAAGATCAATACTTTCCATGGCATTGCTCCCCTCCACAGACTTGGTGAAATGCCAAACAGGTCCCAAAGCCAGGACAATCCCTTGGGTAAGGTCTGGAATCAGGGATGGAAGTGTTTGGGGCTATGGAGAGTACGTTGAGACAGGCAGAGAGCACTGGGAGAGGGTGCAGAGGCCAGCACTGACACTACCTGAGGGTGCTGAACTCATTTCTGAGCTCTGTCACTGCCATTTTAAAGGCAAACACAAGCCATGAGAGCTGGGAGTGACTCGGTGCAGCCAGAGAGGCTGCAGGACCCAAGCTGGGAGGCAGCTTCAGCATCCCTGGGCCCTCTCTGGTCACCTGGAAAAAGAAGCATATGGTTTCCTCGGGCAGGTGCTGAGGTGTCATCCCTGTCTCTATTCCTCAGATGCCAGGCTGCCTCTCTCCATCTTCACTGCTCCAACTCCGCATCCCCAGTGGCGCTGGCAGCCTGTGTCCATCCCACCCGGAGGGCAGAAAAGCAGGCTCAGCTGCTCCTGCAGCCTCAACACCTCCCTCGAGCTCTTCCTCACGCCAAAAACAAGCAGAGCTCAGCAATCTGCGGCACAAGCCATCCGTCAGCCGGGAGGAGGAAGAGTTCCAGCCACGGAGCTGGCAGTGGCAGGGGCCCAAAGCGCCCATGCTTGCTGCCCAGTAGCCGAGGCAGCCACATTCGTGCAGGAGGCAGGCAGAGCATCACAGGAGAAGGTGAGCCAGTTTGCCACGCTGGCAAAAAGGGGAAAACACAGCAGTTAAATCCATGCCGTCCTGCCACAGGGGTCTGCACAGCAACTGGAAGGAGCAGGAAGAGTTTCACATCCAGATTAGGTGCAAATAGAGGAAAATTAATGGGTCCTGACTGGTGCTGGAGAAGGGGGCAGAGGAGTTCAGACACGGGAAGTGGAACCTCTGGGGAAGAACTGTTTGGTTTTTTTTTTCCTCCTCCAACACCAGTTTCAGAAATAGCTGGAAATGGGAAGGCCACACTCAGAGAGAAAGCTTCCTTTTGGAAGAGAAAAGAGCCCTGGAAGATGGTGAGCAGCACGGCTCCAGTGAGGACAGACAGGGCCAATGCAGTGTGAGCTTGGCAGCCACGTGCAGAGAGCTGAGCCCTAACACCCAACGGGGTACAGGGCTGTAAGGAGCCACAGCAGGTACCCCAGGCAGCTCCGATGCTTCAGAGCAGCTCCCTTCATGCCCAGGTAACTCTCTGTGTGCACAGCTCTGCTTCTAACCCAGTAAATCCATCAAACCAGCCCCCGCCAAGACTAGGGGCCATCAATGCTCCTTGAGCACAGGAGAAGCCCGTCAAAGGGAACCTGCTCAGACATCTCGCAACAGGCTCTTGACCTCCTAGGAAAGGGAACTCACTCCAGCTGGTAGCAAAGCCACATTCTGCACCTTCTCCTTCAGGCTGTGAGGAGCAACAGGACTTCCTAGGGATCAATCCTGACCACACCGGCTGCCATGGTGGAAACAGAAGTGGAAAAAAGTGCTTTCCCTCCTCACAACATCCTCAGAAGAGGCAGATCAGCACCAGTTTACAAAGCCTTAGCCAGATAGCGGATGGCTTCCACTTATTTCAATGAGCTTTGGATCAGACCTTAAAAATACTTGTTCAACAGCATTTCTCTGTCATTAATACAGTCTTATAAATTCCTTTTTGCTTTCCTTTTACAGTGAAAACTAAGAGCCTTTAGGCACAGAGATTACAGCATCTCAGTGTTAATGTCAACCCCAAAACACAGCCAGAGCTGGAAAAAGAATAAAAATGCTATGGGTAGAAATTACTTGATCTCTGGCTAAAAGCAACTGGCTGAGAAGAAAGCCAAAAGCAGCAGGGAAGCAGGGAAAAGACAATTTGCCTTCTCAAATTCTCAGCTTGAGAAACACACCTGCACTAGCAGCACAAGACAGGAGCCTTTATTTAAATAGTTTATTTTACACTCTCAGCAGGGTCTCTTTATACTTCTCTCCTTCCTCATAGAGCCAGAACTAGTTCCAAGCCCAAGCTTTGAGAGCAAGACCCTACCCTCTCTCAACTCTGTGTATCAGGGCTTTGCCTACACTCCCTCAGCGCCTAAAAACCCCCATCCTCTTCCTCCTCCAGGATATGAGGATGTTAAATGCATTCACATGTAAATCCACATTTAGCACTTCAGCTTCCACAGAGCTCAGCAAAGTTATGAAAACTGAAGTCAACTCAACCAGGCAGCAAATATCCAGGAAGAGGTCAAAATCCTTCTCCAGCCCAGCACAGGCACTGGAGGAGGAACACATCATTCCCTCCAGCATCCCCCTTTCTGATGCCAGCACTTCACACCCTTCCAAACACTGTGGTGGAGAGGCAGTACCATGCTTCAAGCAGCAAATGTCACTTACCAACATACTCAGAGAGGAACACAACAAAGAACGGAGTGACCAGGTCATTGATTCCCTGCACATAGCCGCTGGCTGGGTGTCGGATGGCCCAGATAAACAGGATTCTTTCAAAGATCTAGGGAAGAATGAGGGAAAGCAGGTACCTGCATTAGCCGTGCAAAAAGGCAAGGCAGAAAAGCGTAACTGCTAAGCTCAGGAAGCAGAGATCATGCGCTGACAGGCTCTTCTGCAGCAATACGGGTCAGATAAGAAGCGTGCAAGTCCTAGGAGAGACTCCTGTATGATCCACAGATCCCACACACAAGGCCAGCCCAGGCTCCTCATCAAAGCCTCCTCTTGAAGAAACGCAGACCCAACTTTTCAAGATCCAGGTGGCTTAAGAGGCTTCCACCCACAGGACAGGGCTGCCCATCAGCAGAACAGCCTCGCTGAATATCACGTGGACGGTTGCGGCTGATATCTGGGCTCTTTAATCATCAAGTATCAGCCATCAGCACAGCAAAACATCACAGATCAGGAAAGTTCACAATACAGCAGCCTCCCCGCAACAACCAGGGTGTTATTTCCAGACTGCCCCAGCCCCACACTCTGACAGGCCACATACACACACTGAGCTTGTTTCTAAGGAGGACAGAAGCTCACACCTCCTTCTCAAACCCATCCCTGCCTGGGTTTCTCACATACAGCTTGGCACAGAAAAAGGTTTTGTGGCAAAACAGATCTCCTCTTCTGGTTCAAATGCCTTGGATTTGTTTCAAAACAAAAGCTTCAGCTCTGCTTCCAACTCCTGGCAACCTCTTGCCATAAAGGGGCTGATCTCATAACTCCTGAGCTCCAAGTGTGATGTCTTTCAGAAACATGGGACAAGAGCAGACAATTTCAGCAGGTATTTACATCAGGGAAGTTTCCCTGCAAAGCTAACACTAGTGACAGCACTGCTCTCACTCCACACACACACCCCCCATGGAAAATGTGGGGCCCCCAACTTACCTCCTGGACAAGTGGCTGCTGGAAGAGCGGGATGAGTGGGTTGGTCCTTGGAATGTCAATGTGGATCTGGAAGAGAGGGTGGGTTACACACACCAGCCATGCATTTCAGGGGCACAGTAACTCATCACAGGTCAACAGAGGGGAATCCACACTTCAGTGTGTCCCCCAAGCAAGAGCTGCCTGTGCTGACAAGCAGCGAGGGCTACAGATGGCAGTGGCGCCGAGAAAAATCAACTCCAGTTCTATCTCCAGTCTCCTAAGCTTAGGTGTGGGCAGGTGATCAGAGCTCCAGGGCTAAAATCTAGTTACTAGAAGAAATTAGGGAAGGCTTAAACTAACACCCATAAGAATCATACGGTGGTTTGGGTTAGAAGGGACCTTCAAGCCCCCCCAGTGCCACCCCCTGCCCTGGGCAGGGACACCTCCCACCAGCCCAGGTTGCTCCAAGCCCTCTCCAACCTGGCCTTGAACCCCTCCAGGGATGGGGCAGCCACGGCTTCTCTGGGCAACCTGGGCCGGGCTCTCACCACCCTCACACCAAACAAGTTTCTCCCCACATCTCATCTCAACCTCCCCTCTTTCAGGGTCAAGCCCTTCCCCCTTGTCCTGTAGCTACATGGTCAGAAAGATGTACAGAAACATGGTGTCCTTTCCCCAAGGACGATATAACTCCTAGATATCTAACAGTTATAACTAGAGGAATTCCTAGCATGACCCCAACTGCAAGAGGGAGGAAAGGGATAGAATGAGGCAGAAAGGCAGGCAACAGGCAGAGGGCTTGTACCTGTCGGTAGGTGTCTTGATGGTGTTCCTCATTCCGGGAATCGTAATACTGCTGGATGAAGCCAAAGTACTCCTCCCGCTTACGCTGCAGAGTCAGCTTTCGCCGTTCCATGTTTGCGGGGAGATAACCCTGCAGCAGGAAAACCCATGTCAGGGCATATCCTCTTCCCTCACCCACAAACCATCCCCTGAAATCCTGCCAGGCAGCTCGTGCCTCTGGTGGCATCAGGCTCATAGACCTGGGAGCTGGGGAAAGAGCTTTCATGCGTTTTGGCTTCCCCAGCCCTTGATGCCTTTTCTGACCTTGGGGAAACCCAACTTCATGGGATTCAGTTTCCCAAAACAGAGAGAATCACATACTCCCAGCACCAGTCTGGGCTTTGTGCTCAAAGAAGATGTAGCAATTACACTCCCGGAGCTAAATAAATCCTACAGCTCACCCTAAGGCTGGGCACAGACAGAAGCAAACCTGGTTATGGGACACAAGAAGGTCTAGGAGCACGTCCCTGGCTCAGCACCTTCCCCCCAAATTCCTACGTGACAGCTCTAAGTACTCACTGAGAGGAGACGCCACGTCACGGGCCGGACCTCTCTTGGCACCCCAGGCCAGCTGCATTTCCTCAGCTCATCTGCTGTCCTGTAGCTACATGGTCAGAAAGATGTACAGAAACATGGTGTCCTTTCCCCAAGGACGATATAACTCCTAGATATCTAACAGTTATAACTAGAGGAATTCCTAGCATGACCCCAACTGCAAGAGGGAGGAAAGGGATAGAATGAGGCAGAAAGGCAGGCAACAGGCAGAGGGCTTGTACCTGTCGGTAGGTGTCTTGATGGTGTTCCTCATTCCGGGAATCGTAATACTGCTGGATGAAGCCAAAGTACTCCTCCCGCTTACGCTGCAGAGTCAGCTTTCGCCGTTCCATGTTTGCGGGGAGATAACCCTGCAGCAGGAAAACCCATGTCAGGGCATATCCTCTTCCCTCACCCACAAACCATCCCCTGAAATCCTGCCAGGCAGCTCGTGCCTCTGGTGGCATCAGGCTCATAGACCTGGGAGCTGGGGAAAGAGCTTTCATGCGTTTTGGCTTCCCCAGCCCTTGATGCCTTTTCTGACCTTGGGGAAACCCAACTTCATGGGATTCAGTTTCCCAAAACAGAGAGAATCACATACTCCCAGCACCAGTCTGGGCTTTGTGCTCAAAGAAGATGTAGCAATTACACTCCCGGAGCTAAATAAATCCTACAGCTCACCCTAAGGCTGGGCACAGACAGAAGCAAACCTGGTTATGGGACACAAGAAGGTCTAGGAGCACGTCCCTGGCTCAGCACCTTCCCCCCAAATTCCTACGTGACAGCTCTAAGTACTCACTGAGAGGAGACGCCACGTCACGGGCCGGACCTCTCTTGGCACCCCAGGCCAGCTGCATTTCCTCAGCTCATCTGCAAACGGACAGTGGTGGCAATGGATTAGATCCTAGGCAGGTCCAGGAACCACTACACCTAGAAGGAGAGGAAAGCCCAGTCTGCTCCTGCAGGCTCTGGAGACACTGAGCCTCCAGGAAGGGCCCACATTTGCAGGGACTGGGTTTGTGGGTCTGTAGCGAGGGGAGCAGAAGTGCTTTTAGCTTGGCCTGGGCACAGGACCGGTGGCCGCAGGGGCTCCAACGTGCCAGAGGCTCAGTTCTCATGCAGAGCCCAACAGCTCCCAGTGATTCCAACCATTTGTGAGATGGAGGAGGACTGAAAATGGACAGGCAGCTGGTAGAGGATGTAACCATCTGCCAACAGAGCAGTTTGCGCCACTTGGAGACCTGCAGGTAGTAATTTTATCCACCTTGGAGCAAACCTGATTGTGACCCGAAGCAGGCAGCAAGGTCCCCTTCTGCCTTCCCCCTCCCACCTGCAGGCACCCCACTCTTCCCACACTCACCCAGGTCCGTGTTGTGGCTGGAAAGGAGCTGCCGAAACTTCTCCAGGCGGGTTTTCTCCCTCACTGTCATAGGGGGAGCACCCGAAGCATTTTGATCAGAGATACGGGCGACGAGTGGAATGACGGGCCGAAGGGGAAGGGACTGCTGCTTCTGAAGGGGGGTCCGCACACAGGCCTCCTCTGCAAGGAGCAGATGCTGCAGTGAGGCAGGGAAGGAGATGGCACCTCTCTAACCCGACCTTGCTCCTCCGGCCACTGTCAAAGACCTGCCCCTGCATGTCTCACCCTTCTCTTCCCCAGCCCCAGCAAACAGAGCACTGCTGGCCCGCTCTGAGGCATCAGTGGGTTCACAGGCATCTGTCCTGGCTCTTCCATCACTTCTCTCCCTGTTTCTCCTTCCTCTTTCCTTTTCTTCCTCCCACATCTAGAGACCTGGCTGCCCACAGATCAGCCCTCTCCCTCCACATGGGAAGCCATGGGCAGAAGGATACAGGAGACGAGGGAGAAGGAGCCTGTGAGAATCCCAGAGGAACTCACCTTCAGATCTTCCCTGCTTGTCTCTGATCTTAAACAGTGATCAAGCTAATTGCTAGCACGGAGAGAGGAGATGATGGGCTGCCAATGCCACCTGCTGGCAGCAGGGACCTGCTGGGTGACTTTCACAGCACAGGGAGCCATCTGCGAGCAGGGGCTGATGCTGCCCAGGTCCTTGCCCAAGCTGTACTGACCTGGGCTCTACAGGGACTCATCCAGACCTTACTAAGAACAGCACAACAGGCCACAAAGGAAGCAGAAGGTGAGCACTGCCAAACAAGAGCTTAACATATCTCCAAAATCATCCTTCAGCACCCAGAACGCGGGATCCTCTGGGACAAACATGTCTGTATGAGCAGCAGAGAAGACTGAAGCATTAAGGCCAAGACTTCAAAAATGGAGAGCATGATGCTACAAGGAGATTAAAGCCCCTGTTGGGCTTACGGGCTGTGCCGCAGCCTCTCGCCCACAACATGGGAGTAGCAGTTCAGTGGTCAACCAAGGAGAGCACCGGAACATGAGGCTGCTCCCAAAACCAGCTCTTACCCGATGTCCTGGAGAGCTGGGCCTCACTGCTGGATTTGATGACCTTGCAGTTGGTGGGCACATTGCCGAGAGCAGACTGAACCCGCTCCGGTTTCACCCGCAGCTTGCTGTGGTTCTCCAGAACCTGGGCTGCTGTGGCCTTGGCCACTTTAGAGTTCAGAGTTTGCAAAGAAGATGAGGAGGAGGAGAAGTCCTCATCTTCGTCATCACCGATGTCCCAGGCGTCGCTGGTGTTGCGGGCAAACTCGTGAAAGCTGGAGGCCTTCTTGTTCTTCATAGGCAGCGCGTTGGCCTTGGAGCGGTCCTTGATGAAGCTGGAAGCCAGAGAGAAACAGTATCAAAGCAATTCTGTCAGACGAGTCCATTTTCCTTCCTTCCCTGCGACCTCACTCCAATCAGCCCGTCCCTTTTTCCAGTCCCCCCCCTTCCTCCTCCCAATCTCAAGGAACATGTTAAGTCTCTCCAGGCAGAGCCCAAGCTGGGCTGATGGCAGGGCAGGGAGGCCACTATGCCAGCAGAGAGCTGGAGAGGTGCCAGCGTTCCCAGCGCAAAAGGGCAAAGGGGAGAGACATATAACTCCTCCGGCTCTGCCTGTCCCATCCCCCCTAGAGAAAACCAGATTAACACCCAAAAAAAAAAAAAAAGCCTTGCGACCTGGGCAGAGGCATGTCAGAGGTTTGACGGAGCTGCTCTGCGGTTGTGGACGCTCCCAGTACAGCTGCGATGGCTCCCAGTGGACAGACCAGCCTGGTTCTTTTCTCAGGCACAGGAGGAGCCTTCACATTTACCCTTAAGCTACAGGAGTCAAAGTCCACCATCTGAAGCGTCACAGAAAAAGAAGAACCTTCACCGCTACACACAGAGTAAGATAGAGGCAAGGAGGCAGTTCCGATCAGCTCTGCCTTTTCCTGCCGGGAAGGGTGCTGCCATCCTGCAGCCGAGCAGCTCCCAAGAACCTTTACCTCCCCTTCCCTTAATTCTTCCCTCTCTGGAAGGGAGCAGAAGGCTCAGCCACCACTGCTAAAAAAACCATCCCTTTCTCCTTTGATGTGGCGGATACAATATGGATTTCTGTCCATATAAGATAAGCTTTCCCTGAAAGCTTTCACAGAGCTCAAGACAGCACCCCATGCCGCTGCTGCCCTTCTCTGCTGGAAGACCCCAGTGCCAGAAGATGCTGGAGACCTCCACTTCCTGCAGACCAAAGCAATATCCTGCAAAGCCTCGTGGCATCTGCAGAAGATAAACACTTACTTTTTGGTGAGGCGGGGATCCAGTGGAGGATGCTGTGCTCCATAGACGGGTTGAATGCTGCAGGAAGAGGATAGAAAAATAAGAAGGCAGGGCAAAAAGCCACAGAGCACCCAGGAATAATCTCCTCAGCCTAGACCGGGGTCACACTTCTTGCCTGCTCTTGGAAGCTGAATACAGACCAAAAGCAACTCCAATAACCTTCCGTCTCCAAAGCCTCAGATCCAAAGCGCCACATTCAGATGAAGATTTGTTCTTTGCAGCAGCAAGAGAAGCCTTGTTTAAACTCTTAGCAAGCCTCAAATCCCAGCTCAGGCCGGAGAGAGCCTCTTTTTCTGCATCCCCCGCCTCATACACTGACGTCCTTTCTCTTTTCCATCAAGGGGATTTCCAGGTTTGGGAATTCACGCTTCCAAGCCCCGTGGGACAGGGAAGGACCCTAAGCCAGTGACACTGGGGGTCCTCTGCAATGCATTTGAGGGTCTGAACCCCACACTGACTCTCGGGCTCATAGCCAATGCGACGGTGAAGCTGTCCCTGCTACACTACACAGTTTGACTTGGGTCCAAATCCCAGCTTAATCAACTACTTCCTAACATGGCCTGAAATGAGTCACCAGGTCTCAGTCCCTCCACTCGCCTCCCAGTGGAGTGAGGACAGGGAGCATCACCTTGGAGAGGAGCTACTAAACAAGTGCTTGTCACTAGTTTGACACGCTCTGGAAACGAGACAGGGATCCTGAGTTATTACCTCCCTTTGGGTAACTATTCCCAGCCACCCCACCCTGAAAAAACATCTCTGGAAAACAAGTCCTCCCCATTCCCTGATACATGGCACCATCCCACATCCCGCGGTGGAGACAAGGGCCCATTCAGAGCTGGCACACAAGGGACAGGCTCCTCTTGGGTCAACAGAGCTGGCTTGGTTTCCAGGAGCTGCAGATGGTGCCCGGCAGTAAAACGAGCAGAGCCTGGCCATGTAGGAGGGGGACAGCAGCCCTGTGCAGCTGGAAAGCACGTTGGGAAAGAGTTGATGCTGGGGAGGCAGCAGCAACAGGCCCAGCTGGCAGGGGAGAGATAGAGAGATCCAGGGCAGGGGCTGAAAACAAACGCAGCACAGAGAAATCCTGGTGGTGAAGCCTGGCGAGGGGTGGGCTCGCCGCTGGAGTAGCTGCCCTGCGTGGCTGGAAGCACTGAAAAGGCTCACTATGTTTACCCACCAGCAACGGAGCCCAGGAAAGAGTTTGCTGACTAATTAGCATCGAGGAGTCAGGACAGCGATATTAAGCAGAGGCACCCCCGTGGGTGGGCAGAGCAAGCAGATTATCGGGAGTAAGAAAAACAACCTCTCCGGATTGGCGCTGCTTTCCCAGTGACTCACGGCAGCTCAGTGCAGAAGAGGAGTCGATGGAGCCTCTCTGATACCCAACACCGAGCTGGCACCGTCTGGTGATGGCAGTAACAATGCTGCTCCCCTCCGCACAAGGATCCATGCCCCGCCGATGGGTGACCGCTTGGATTCACGTGCGAAGGCCCAAACTTCGCAAGTTGAACAAGTGATGTGTGTTAAAGATAGCAGAGGGGATGTGGCAGCCAGCTCCAGGTGAGGAAACCCCTTCCTGGGGCTCTGAAGCAATCAGACGATCTTTTCGGCTAACAGCTGATTCAATGGCACGGGGTCCCACCTCCCAAGCAGCTCTTTTTAAAGAATTTGAACCCAGGCTTCCCCAAACAAAGCACCCTGAGCTGATGTAATTGCACAGTCCATCAGCCTGCGCTCCCACACAAGCAGCTGAAGATGACAGTCTCATTTCCAACAGGCTACAGGGGCAGGGCTGAACTTCACCATCCTGCACTGGTGAGCTGGGACCACTGCATGAAGCGTGTTTCTTGCATCTTTGCTGATTCTCTGCCCTTTCCACCCAGTGCAGAGCGGGTAACAGGCTGGACAGGAGGAGTGAGAATGCTCAGAGGTGTGCAACAGGTGACTTCTAAGATACACAAGCAGATGCACAAACAGCAAGTTTGTGCCATAGCATCTGTGGTGCCCTCGATATCTGACCCTCCTCCTGCAGCTCACATCCATGTAGCTGACTCCCAGCAGGTCCCACAGCCCCACACAGAGGTGCATTAGAGCATCCTACTGAGAAAACTGAGGCAGGGGAGAGATACCACCAAGTGATGCTCAGTAACTTCATTTACTTACTCTTGCCTGGTCTTCCCTGACGCAACTGGGCTAGGAGAATGTGCCACCTCCAAGCTTAACTCCCTGTCTGAAGCTGTCTTCGCCTGACTCTGGCACAGACAGATAGCTCAGGGCAAGCACTGCCTCCCAGCAAACACACCACCTGGTCATGAGCCAAGACCTAAGCTACCACCGCTTCCAAACTGACTGGACCAGTCCCCTGTCCCGTCTCAGCTTAAGCTCTTTGGGACAGGCATTTCTTGTCACCTGTACAGTCATTAGTGCAAGGGGTGAGTGACAGTGTCCGGTATGACTGCGGTATCTGTGTTATACCTCTCACAAGGAGACCATCGCAAGGCATGCGTTACTGAGACCACAGCAGAAAGCGTGTCCATAAAACCTCAGTGCCACTTCGGGCCCAGAACATGTTTCTTCCTAGCAGATTCTGTTTCTCCCCTTTTAAAACAGCATTTAAATACCCCCCAACAGAGCCTGGCTGCCCATCTGGAAATACACAACCCATCGCACCGGGTAACACACCAGACCAACCTGCCAACACAGCCCCAGAAAATTACCAGGGTGGGAATTCCCAATGCAAAAAACACGGGGCAGCACTGGAAACACGAAACAGGGTAAAAACCAGCGACTAAAAGCTACTAAAACTCAGTGACCAAATGCACAGAGCGTCATGGAAAAGGAAGCGAATACAGTCTCCACATCTTTACAAAGCCTCCCTCTGCCAGCTTGTCAGGGCAAAGACAGGAGACATCCAAAAATCTGGACAGGACGATCTCTCACAGCTCAGACACATAAAAAAAAAAAAGAAGAAAAGGAGCTTCACATCTAGCAACCATGGATGCAGCATGTCCCACCTCCACCTTTCATGTTGCCCAAGACCCATCGGTAGCTGGCCTTGGAAAGGACGGGCCCACGGGGTATTTTGAGGTGGTGACAAGGCTCCTGGACGGCAGGATATTTGCCGAGCAACCAGTCAGGAGCAAGGGAGAACTTTGCCAAAAAATTTGACGTCGGAGCGTATTGTCAGGCAGGAGTGGCTGCCTCCCAGACCGGTTCACCTGGTTTGAGCTTCCCAAGCCCAAACTCGAAGTCACCTGCTGCAGGAGAGAGATGCTGTCTGAGACCGCCAGCTGGAAACACAACTGGGACCTCCGGGAAAGCGATGGGAGACAAAACATCCCAGGGAGAGGCACAGTATTTTCTTCCCCTGGGAGCAGATGAGGAGGAACGGATAGCACTCTTTGCTTTCTCTTTGCTCGCCACAGATCTGGACTGTCCCACCAACCTGAGGGAGCCGGCGCAGCGACACAGAACCGAGTGAAAAGCACATAAAAAAGAGAGATTTAAGTGGCCTGGCAGGATTAAAAGCCAACTAAGCATTTCAGACTGTGTCCATGTACCAGGAGGGGAAGAGCAGGTTTCAGATAAGGCAAATGTGAGTAGCACCAGACAGGAAGAGTCCTTTTGAAAGCCTCCCCAGAGGAGCGGGTGCCCACTCCCCACAGCAGCTTGGCTCCCAAGGCCTCATAGGGAGCATCTCCTCCATCACCACCAGCTTCTTCTTCCTAAACACCACTTGAATCAGACATTTCACTTGTTTCTCCCATCCCTAAGTGGGTGCGGGTGCCTCAACAGGAACTGGGACATCACAGAGGAACTGAAGCTGAGGAGGTGCCCACATAGAGCCTCCACAGCCCCTCCTACTGAGTAGAGGTGGACCAGGGGTGACATCCAACATAGGAGAGGATAACAAGGGGGCACATGCGTTGGCAGGGACACCTGTTTGGGACAGAGCTGTTGCCACCCAAGGTGACACCTCTACGGGCTTCGGGAAGGGATGAGGGTTCTTCAGTATCTGTGGAAAGGAGGATGGTACAGACCTGGCTTCAGGGCCACCCCAGGGGGTCTTCAAGGTCCTGACCCCCTCGACTCTGCTTTCCATGGGGCAGAGGGTACACACAAAGGTGCCACAGGGCCTGCTCTGCCCTACAGGTGAGGGGAGAACCCTGTCACTACCCTTGTCCCTTACACAGGGGGGCTTCCTCCAATAGAACTCCCCTGCCCCATAACTTGGGGTGCCCCTGGCATCCTCCCCCCTTTTGCAGGGGGGAACCTCAGGGCTCCCAGCCAGGGTGGATACCCCTGGCGTCCCCACTATTGCGGGGGCGGGGGGATCCCAGGCCCATAGCCAGGGTTGATACCCCTGGTATTCCTCCCCCTTGCAGGGGGCTTCCCCGGGGCCCCCAGACCCACAGCCAGGGTGGGCGCCCCTGACAGCCCCTTCCCAAGGCAGAGGGGCTGCTCCAGCCCACACCCTCACCACCGCCCTCCGGCTGGGGACAGGATCTGCAGCCCTTGCACCCCTTATCCCGGGGAGCAGGGGCTGGG